TCCAGTTCTGTCCAGATAGTCTCTATTACTTTCTTCATCTTCTTGTTGTTATCATATAATCCTTTCTTTGCAATCTCTGATAATCTTCACAAGCGGGTTGGAAACAAACATCCTCTGTGTGGGTTTTACACTCTCCATAAATCATATCACTTAGGGACAGACACCATTCCACACTTCCGTAAAAATTTTATCCTCGGTCTGTCCTTTAATTTTCCAGGCTTGCCAAGTATATCAGGAGGGCTCTGCCAGGTTTAGATCACATTCCAGTCATGATTCACATTCCGATGATCCTGGTCCTCCTCCCCCCGTCTTTCTTAGACAAGCCTGTCTTAGCGAGACACCATTTAAAACTGCGTCATAAAACTTTCCTCTGTTCTCCATTGTTTACCCATTATCTCTTTGATCTATAATTCACTCCACACAGTTCTTGAATTCCTGCTTGTGATTAATAAAATGCAACGAACTTCTTTCTGGGGTGGAGGGTTATTAATACTCACATAAGGCAAATAAAAGAAAAGTTTTTTCCTCCACCCCCCTTCCGTTTCACTCCAAACATACCAGTCTCTTAATGGTGGTTCATCACTTGATTTATTTTTCCCATCCGTCGCTCCGGTCACAGAGATCCATTAATCAGCAGTCTTATCTCCCGAATTTCGCTTGATGTATGTGCTTTAGCTTCTTTCCAATTATATGTTTCCAATTATATTTTCGAGCTAAAGCGAACCCGGGAGCTGATTGGAGACGGCGTCAGGAAGAGCTGACTTCACCAAGGGCTTGTGCCAAGTGACCAGCACTCCCTTCTTTCGAATCCGGGGGTGCATTATGGACAACGCTGGCAAGGCAGTCCCCCCCATCTCCTGGGGGGGCGGGAAGGCTGCATACTTCCCATAGCAGCCTCTTAATTACCTTGTGTGGGTCAGAGAGATGTTATTGTCGGCCATCTTCCAATGCACCACCTGGTGGCCCCCCGATTGTCCGGAGCTTTGGGCTGGGTTGTCACCAATACACTGATGACACTCAGCTCTACCTGCTGATGGACGGCCACCCTGACTCAGCCCTGGACACACTGACTAGGCTTACCGCAGGCCTGCGTTCTGCTCATCATCGGGTGCGATTGCATAGGGAGGTCAAGATAGACCTCCAGATATGGCTGGAATTCCTGAGGAAGTTCAATGGTGTATCCTTGTGGCAGGATACCTTGAATCTGCAATTTGATTTTCAGGACCATTCGGATACTGCTGGCTCATTGGGTTTGGGGCTCTATTTCCGCGGATGCTGGTGCACTCAGAGCATTGGCAAGTCACTGCTGTTACCCGCGATTTAACCTTTCTTGAGTTTTTCCCCATTGTAGTAGCAGTGCACATCTGGACCAAGGAGTTCAAGTACCGGTGGGTCTGTTTCTCGTCAGATAAGCAGGCCGTGGTGGGCAAGGCAGTCATCCCGCTCCGGCAGAGTCTTTGCCCTCTTGCGCACGTTTCTGCTGCGATGCCTCGGGTTTAATATTGTGTTTTCCGCACATTTTATTCCTGGTGCTAATAATGATATTGCTGATGCCCTATCCTGCTTTCAGATGGAGCGCTTCAGATCCCTGGCTCCAGGTGCCCAGAAGCTTCTGGAATATTTCCCAGTGCAACTTTGGAACCTTGGCAGCAGCTAGTTTTCCAGGGAGTGGTGGCATCTATTTCTCCTTCTACTTTGAGGTCTTATAAGAAGGCCTAGATGGACTTTTTAGCTTTCAGAGCGCAGCTCACAACTAGTCCTAGCACAGAGTCATCTTCTACACAGCAGGTGTTGCAGTATTTGACTCACCTGCATTTTATGGGTCGTGCTGTGAAGTCCATCTGAATTCAGTCGTCTGCCATTTCATTTTTCTGTAAGTCCCTTTACTCCTGAGACCCTTGTGCAAAGTTTGTGGTGCACAAGGCTCTGGAGGGCTGGGCCAAATTGCGGCCACCTAGGGCACCAGGAAGACGGCCGGTCGCATTGGACATTATTTGTGCTATGCACAACATGCTGAGGGTAATTTACTGGTCTACTTATGAAGTGAGACTCTTTTTGGCAGCATTTTCAATTGCATTTTTTGGTGCACTGTGTGTGGGTGAAGTGATGCTGGAGTCAGCAGGTGGAGGGGCTCCTATGGGCTTGTTTTTGCAGAACATTCAGCTGTCTGATGCTGATCTGGTGCTCACTATTCACAATTCAAAAACTGATCAGTTGGGCAAAGGTGCCTTGATGAGGCTGCCTGCCACTGGTAAGCCCGGCCCTTGTCCAGTTAAGGATGCCAAGAAATATTGTCACTTTGCCCACCTGGGGATGGTCCCTTCCTGGTTCACGAGGATGTATCCTTGTTAAGGAGGCATCAATTTGCTGCTCTAATTGAGAGCCAGTGTGGTGTAGTGGTTAAGAGCGATAGACTCGTAATCTGGGGAACCGGGTTCGTGTCTCCGCTCCTCCACATGCAGCTGTGGGTGACCTTGGGCCAGTCACACTTCTTTGAAGTCTCTCAGCCCCACTCACCTCACAGAGTGTTTGTTGTGGGGGAGGAAGGGAAAGGAGAATGTTAGCCGCTTTGAGACTCCTTCGGGTAGTGATAAAGCGGGATATCAAATCAAAACTCTTCTTCTTCTCTTCTTCTTTTAATGCGTAAGGCTATCGCAGCATGCCGCCTGTCGGCCAGCGAGTTCACACCTCATTCCTTTCATATTCGGGCAGCTACCACTGCTGCACATTGGGGCCTGTCCGTCGACAGGATTAAGGACCTAGGCCGCTGGAAATCTGAAGAATACAAGGCTTATGTTCGGATGTGGCATTGAGGTGCAGTTGCTAATGTTATTTTGTTCATTCCTAGGTCTGGCTATCCTGCACGTCTGGATAGTTGGGCACAGCATTGTCCACTGGGTCAGCAAGAGGGCGGCGGAGTCTGAATTCGGATGCAGGTTCGGGCTCCCTGACCACGTGAGCGTCTTCTGGGTGTCCAGACGAGGAATGCCTTGGGAGGGGCTTCTCCCAATGGTGCAGACGAAGGTGTCTGTGGAGGCACGCCTGCGGTGGTGGTGGTGCAGCTGGGCGCAATTGGCGGAAGCCCCTGGCTGAGCTTGCGGTCCCGCTTGCAGGAAGACTTTGAAGAGTTGAAGGAGGCTCTTCCTGGACTCAAAATTTGGTCACTGATGGCAGTGACATGTGGCAAGGCAGCCAATACCCAGCTGCCACCGGGAGAGCCAAGATGAGCACCCAGAGCACAGTGGCCAAAAACGTTCTGGCCTTGGGCAGGGATGGTGAGCTATCACCCAGGCATTACCTTCCGTGATGCGTCCCTTTACAAGCTTGATGGGGTTCATCTGTCTGTGACTGGGAATGATTTTTTTTGGCTGACCTCCGTGTCAGCAGGTTTAAGGGACTGGTTACAGGTCTGAGTGGTTGTTGGCGAGCACGGGGCTCGTGTGGAGGATAGGCTCTGGTTCAGGTGATAGGGATACACTCTCGCCACCCCTATGTGAAGGGTATTCCATTAAAGGAATCCAGGGACTCAATGGTTTGGTCAACCCTGTGAGGGGGTTGTGCCCGTGCCAGAGTTCAGGGGGACATCTGGCTGGTGGACATAACCTGTTCCCAGCTTTCCGCCTATGTGGATGTTCACCCTAGGCTGACCTATGCTGGTGCTCTGGGTCAGCGCTACCTGCAACGGTGCAGGCAGCTAGTCGAATCAGGGCCTATGCAACCACTCACATGCTGTAATAAATAAAGTTGTGGCCTAAATTCTGCCAAAAACCAAACCAAAATTTGAGTCTTGTCAGAATTTGTTTAAAGGGAAGGTTTAAAGGTCTGAACACACAATTACTATTTATTGAATTTATATCCCACCCTTCCTCCTCAAGGGGCCTAGGTCAGCAAAGAGGCATAAGATTGAAAAACAAAAATGAAGTAGAAACAGATTAATACATTCTAAAAACAATTACAATTCAAAACATACTTCCATCTAACAATATTAAGTGATGGCCAGGAACAGTATTAAGTGATGGCCCCACTTAGGACTGAACTTAAGCATTTCCTGCTTAAACATTGTGTCAGTCAAATCAGAAAACTGATTCATTCCTATCATGTAGGCGTGTTTCTCTTGTGCAGCTTCGGGTTGTGTTGTCCAACCTGTTTTCAGTTGCTCTTCCACGTGGTTCTCTGGCGTTTGTCTTCCTCTGGGGGCTATTCTTTAGAATGTGTGATTGTCCATGGACCCCCCCCCCCAAAAAAAAAACTTCATCCGAGGCTGGAGCCATTGTTGTAGAGCAAGCCCTGAGTAAGATCGGCCCAATCAGCCCTACCACAGAGATCTGAAACTTTTATTTTCTCTCTCTTCTGAGCCTCAGGCAGCCACCCCTGTTAGGAGAGGAAGTGTCTGACACACACAAATCTCTGGGTCTCCTCACTTTCAAATTGATCCGTAGGCCCAGAAAGCAGTGGTGCTGTGTTCACATCCCTTTGGGCATCACATTCTCAACATGTGATCTGCAGCAACTGGTAGTAAGAGGCTTACTGCCTCTCATACTGGAGTGAAGGTAGCCATCATGACTACGTTTAAAAAGATACTGAGAAGCTACAAAACTGACAATGCAAAGGAGTGGTTCCATGGATACAAGCAGGTTCCAGGTTCACCTGATTGCTGGGAAGATAAAGAGATGTGTGTGTGATTGTTGATTACTTTGTGCCTTGTTGGGAATATGTTACCTCCACAGGCCTTGTGATAAAACAGAGCTGGAGAAAAGACTAGAAAGAATTCACTTCTTTAAAGTTCCAGTTGACTAACAATGAGGGTGCGGTTGGACTGGAAGAGGCATCTGGCTGGCTGCCACAGAAGTCCTAAAAATGATTGCATCCACAATCAAAAAGGAGCTTTGTGTTCCAATTTTAAAAAACAGGATTTTGGGGACAGCATGCACTCTCTGTTTCCATAATATCCCACCACTCCTTCCCAGCTAGAATTCTCAGGCACCTTTCCTTCTCCTATAAATTTTCCCAAGCCAGCTTCTTCTTCCACAGCTCACCTGGTGGTTTGTTTCAAGTGCTCCTTGGCTTTTGATCGCTCTGGCATTATGAAGGCTTTCCTGAGTATGTGCTTTCTCTTTGTCCTAGTTTCTTCTGGTGAGTAGGAATGTTTCTCTTAATCATATCTGGATGGGTGTTAGCAGGGGTCAGAATGGAAAGACTGAAATAGGTTTTTGGAAGAGAAAAGGAGCTGAAAATATGGATAAGAATAGGAGGATCTGAGAATCTGGACTCTAAATTTTGGAGAGGGGAGAAGACCAGCAAACTTCAGTTACATGTTCTAAGTTACAGACCTCATTTTGAAGTCTGGAAAGGAGCACTGCTTTTATGTTTATTTTCTTTTGACTGGGAGCTTGGTTGAGTTGAATGGGTTAGAGGTGGATTAAAGGAGCCAAGCGAACATGGTTCTGAGTGTTAAAAAGAGTGAAGACTATGGTTCATTCACAAGGATTTGTGAATGACCCATAGAATCTCAACTCAGTTTCAGCCATAAGGAATCAGTGGCCCAGCAGAATAAAGGGACTGCTCCAAATTGCAAACAACTGAACTCAACCACAAGGCAGTGAGTCATTATTTCTTATCATTCAGAGTTAAACAAGTGTAAATAGAAGAGTGGAGTATTAGGAGTTTAGAATGGGGCACAAATGTGTCCAACATGCATCATGGACATGCACCTCATACATACCTCACATTCAGATGGTGTAGCAAATTTTGTAAAGGTGACTATTACACTAGTAGAGGGTATTTCTGTTACTTGAGGTCAGCTCAACAATGGGACTCCCAGATTCTTTCATATTTTTTCTTCCTGAAGCAGTGATTGGTGACACCAAATGGAGAAATGGGGAGTGGGTGGAATAAAACACAGGGATCTCAGGTGCTGCTTGACTTCAAGGTAAACAGTTGCGCTTCCTGTGCTGTTCTGGCTACCCTGTTTGGGATTGATACACTTTTCATGAAGACCTCATGCAGCCTGTAACAGGTTGCCTACCTGCCATCCCTGTGTTGGCAACTGGCAGTGTTTGGGAAGGAAGGTAGATGGGGAAGCATCTCCTGCTGCACCTTTCTTCCCATAACCTCCAGGCCCTCCCCATCTAGCCAACAGCTATTTTTTGGGCTGTTGGTAGCACACTTACCAGCACCAATAATGTGGCTGTGTATGGAAGTGTGTGATAGGACTTATGAAATCCTATCTAAAATGTCACTGCTCAAATGGTTGGTGATGGCAAGAACTGAGAACAACACTGGGACTATGAGAGGGAGGTTTGAATCTCATCACCATGTGTTGAAGTGCAGGGAAATGTGCGTGAATGGGAATAAGGCTGTGCATCTGTCTGTGTCTGTGTATATTTGTGTGTGAGAGAGATAGACGAGATGGTGTGTGTGTGTGTGTGTGTGTGTGTGTGTGTGTGTACACATGTGGAATCTTGAGATATGTAAGATTCCTCGTGTCTGTTAATAGTGGTTTGCATCCAAGAGCTGAGATCAAGGTCAGATTTCTCTCTGTGAATGTATGTAGATGTCATTTCTCAAGGAATGAGAAACCCATGGCACTGATTGTTTCCTACTCTTTCCTCCTAGATGTATGGCATCAATGTTACCGGCATATTTACCGTGGAAGGGGAGTGTCAGAGTTCTGTAGTATTGGAGAGGATAGCTGCATTTCAAATTTTACTCGATTTAATTTAGGTGAGTGTAAAGCCTCTTAGTCCAATAAAGCTGAGTGTGTGGGTCCTGTATTATCAGGGGATTATAATAATAATAATAATAGATGATGTGCATGTATGAATGCAAAATGACCACAGACTGTGCTCTTGTCAAAATGTCAAAAAGTGCAACAATCTGGTGACAGCTCACATCTTCAAACTCTGACAGATACATTCTAAAATCAAATGAAGCCATAAGAGATCTATTTTTAAAAGAACAAACATTTATCTATCATCCATCCCCACAAAGGCTTACTTGCAAAACATTTTTCATTTTGTGAGAGCCAGATTGAGGCGAGATCAATGGAATGAAAAGAGTAGAGGGAAAAGGAAAGAACAGGAAATAATACAACCTGCCAGGGCTCTTCAGGAAGTAGGAACAATATTGTATATAGAGAGGACAAACCAACTCTATTTTCTGTATTTTAGCAATAAATATTGTAACAATGTTGTAACAACAAACAATATTGTAGTGTAACCATAAAACAGGAATTTAATGTTTCTGGGGCATCTTGATTTGAATGAATTAACTCTATCATGCCATAGTTTGAAAATTGGACTAGAGAGTCCATAGCCACAGGGCCCCATCCTTTCCCCCCATGAATCACTTGCCTGTTTTAAGCAAAGAGTGTAATATGCTAGGTGATTCTAAATTGTATTTCTATTACATCCACAAACTCCTTTAGTATCATTGGGTGCAGCTCATCGGGCGCTGGAGATTGGAATTGACTTAAAATAGCTAGTTGTTCCCTTACCACCTCTTTTCCTTTCTTGGGCTCCAGCTCCCTCCTTACATTCTTTATAATGTTATCAGCAGGTTAGGCACTTTTCTTTTGGGTAAAGATGTTGTCACTCAGCAGCATTTATCTGACTTCTCTGTTGCATCAATATGTATACAGTGGTACCTCGGGTTACATACTCTTCAGGTTACATACGCTTCAGGTTACAGACTCTGCTAACAAATAAATAGTACCTTGGGTTAAGAACTTTGCTTCAGGATGAGAACAGAAATTGTGCTCCAGTGGCATGGCAGCAGCAGGAGGCCCCATTAGCTAAAGTGGTGCTTCAGGTTAAGAACAGTTTCAGGTTAAGAACGGACCTCCGGAATGAATTAAGTACTTAACCCGAGGTAACACTGTATTAGGAAGCATCATATAAATTTCAATCATTAGGGGGCTGATTTGAAAAATTTTGGTTTTGAATTGTACCTATATCTTTCTTTGTCCTTCTCACAGATGATATGATAATAAAAACAGAAAGGTGGGGATGCACTTCAGATTGTACCCCAGGGGATTACAGCTTTACTACACTAGAAGATATATATTTCCGACGTAGAATACACTGCTGCCAGGGTAATAAATGCAATAACCAATCCGCACCTGGTAAATATCTGCATGCTTTTGAATCTACATACCCTGAGAATGAAGGTCATTTTGGTTTCAGGTTTCATCCTTGGGTACCCATAGAATAGACTAATGCTACTGTTCTAGACCAAGATTCTTCTCCTAGTTTGCATGGAAGATGGTTAGAATCACCCTCACCACCTGTTTCTCAAAGAGAAAACAGGTAGCCTATGTTAACTGTTGATTGATCAACAGCTTCAGATGACCCCTGAGAATGTGGAGAAAACACCCTGGATAAATTGGGGGATTTGAGAGAGAGAGAGAGAGAGAGAGAGAGAGAGAGAGAGAGAGAAGAACACATGTCCTCCTTGTTCCCTGATAGCCGTGCTGACCCTGGGTGTTATCCTGTTGTGCAGATCCGAGGAGGTAGTGAGGGGAACCATCTGTTGGTACTAATGGCCATCCAGAAAACTACAAAGCAGCACTGCTGAGGGATTGGGTTGAGGGTGCCCTCTACCAAGGGTTTTTGCGGGGGGGGGGGGGGTTCATCTTGTGTGGGTTGAATTGTTTGAGTGCACTCCTTGGTGGAAAGGATGAGAACCAGGTAGCAGATGTGTGCAGCTCCACCTATCCTTTGGTGGGAGATGGCAATTTATGAGAGCGCCTGTTTGCTGTTGGGAACAGTAGATCTCTGTGAGTCTTGGGTGGTAATTAGAATGGCTATTTCAATAAATGATGAGTTTCAATGTCTCCTTGGGTTTGTAATACTAATAATATTTGTACCCCACCCATCTGTCCCAGCCAAACTTAGTGGCTTCCAGCTTAAACAAAAACATAATAAAACATAAAATGTTAAAAGCTTTCCAATACAGAATGTCCAGGCTGAATGATGGGGGTAGAGATGCTTCTTCAGGTATACTGGTTTGTGGCTGTTTATAGCTTTAAAGGCCAGCACCAAGACTTTGAATTATGCCCAGAAACATACTGGGAGCCAGTGTTTGTGTTAATTTTTTTATTCATTTTCAATAACAATCTTCCAATTAATGACAAATCAAATCAAATCAAATCAATGCATATTACAATAATAACAATACCACCAATTATATATTCCAATAATAAATAATTTTGGGGAATTCCCATGTTCTAGTTGTCTAGAGATATTCATCCTCATTCATGTCTCTCATGTTTCGGCTATTTTTCCAAATTCAAAACTAATATTATTCATCCTGATTCTCAGTCTAATCAGTCGTTTCTGTGGCTCACACCTTCTGTAGTAAAGTTTTTGTATTGTTAACACACAGCAGGCATTTTTTAATTCATCTCCTTCTCTGTCCAATTATTTTGGTATTCAGTCCTCTTATCTCTCCTTTGACTGCCAAGTTCTCATTAATGGCAACAGGCTTTGTTCCAAAAATAGAGTTTATAAATGGCAAGTCAACAAATTCTCTCTGATGCCTCTTAATGACCTGATATCTGCATATGTCTGTATAAAATGCTGTATTGTGGGACATGCTTCCCGACTCTATGTTATGTGAGAATTATTTGAATTCCTCCAAGATCAAAAGGACCCCCTCCAGCTCCTCCGGGCCCTAGAAGAGCTGGCAGGGATCCAGTGCTCTCCGTCCTACTGTCCACAATTTCTGTCCACTGGCGCCGGGATCCAGTGTTATATGGTTCCGGCGGCTGCTCCCACTCACCAATCTGGCAGCCCCACATAGTGTGCTGCAGTAGTCCAAGTGGGAGATAACCAGAGCATGCACCCCTCTGGCAGGACAGTGTACAGGCAGACAGGGTCTCAGCCTGCCTAACAAATGGATCTGGTAAACAGCTGCCCTGGACACAGAATTAACTTGTTCCTCCATGGACAGCTGTGAGTCCAGAATGAGGCCCAGGCTGTGCACCTGGTCCTTCAGGGGCATAGTTACTCCATTTAGAACCATTCAACTCAGATGCAACTATTAAACATAACACTTATTTATCAACAGCATGAAAGAGAAGAGAGAAAGAGAGTGATAGAAAATAAGTGCAAAAGTAGTTCCTAATCTCTCTCCCCAAATGACAGACCATCTTCAGTTATCTTCTGGGAGCGTTCATTTGCTCACCTAGCCTTACAACCTGGTAAATCTCAACTTGCCACAAGAATCTTTCCAAGATATTGATGCCAAGAGGTTTCTTTGTCACCTCCTGCAGTAAGTCCTCCCCTCAAGAGTGAAATTCACCCATAGTGTGGGTAGAGTCTCTCCAGTCTATCTCAGGACAGCAGCAACTAAAATTGCTCCCTTTTCTTCATAAGCTGGTTGTCAGACTCTTCAACTGCATTGAATGCACGCTTGATTCTAGAAGCAGAATGTGATGGAAACACTGCCAACTTCTCATAGGATTAGATAACTGAAGCCTAGGAATTAAAATAGAGACATCTGGTCTGGATTCAGGTGTTGATTCTAATGGTTGCTTTTGGCAGGGTCGGATCCGCCCTACAATGGTTTGGTGTGCCCAGGCTGTATTTCTTCCAGCTTTGAAGATTGTCAGGACTCAGAGACTGTCAGGTGTAGAGGAGAAGAGAATCTGTGCATAGAGTTTGTGATGGCTTATTGTAAGTACTCTGGTTAACCATTGAGTCAGAGGTGGGAGGTGGACGCAGTTTGCTAGGGTGTGTGTGGGGATGCTCTCTCATTCAGTCTGTGGCTTCCTGCCAGAAAATACATAGTATGTGTACGGGAAGGGGAGTTTTCTTTCCCCAAATAATATTAGCGTTCCAATAGGCTTTGCTTTGTATATAATGTGAGTGGGTGGCGCTGTGGTCTAAACCACTGAGCCTCTTGGGCTTGCCGATCGGTAGGTCAGTGGTTGGAATCCGCGTGATGGGGTGAACTCCCGTTGCTCGGTCAAAGCTCCTGCCAACCTAGCAGTTCAAAAGCACTCCGGTGCGAGTAGGTAAATACTGCTGCAGTGGGAAGGTAAATGGTGTTGCTGTGTGCTCTGGCTTCCATCATGGTGTCCTGTTGCACCAGAAGCAGTTTAGTCATGCTGGCCTCATGACCCAGAAAGCTGTCTGTGGACAAATGCCAGCTCCCTCAGCCTGAAAGCGAGATAAGCGCCACAACCCCACAGTTGCCTTTTACTGGACTGAACCGTCCAGGGGTCCTTGACCATCTTTACTTATATGGATGAGACCAGGTGTTGGCAAGATTTACCTTGCCTGGGCTGGATCTGTCCCACGGAGCCCCTCCGTGGGTTGGATAGCGAGTGCGCGTGAGGGTGCCCGTCTGCGATCTCTGGCATTTGCCTGAGTCTGCACATGCACAGACGCGATTTCCAGCATCCTCGCAAGTCTGCGCATGTGAAGACACAATTCTGGCATCTGTGTGCGTGATTTCCAACGCCACAGAAGTGAGTCCCTATGCTGTTACGTGATGCGCCACAGTGAGGCGCAGGAACTCACCAAGTGGGTTGTTCAGTTCTGGGGCGGCTCATGGCCAGTTAAACGGCTTCTGTGTCCCATGGGGCGCCTGGATGAGACTATGTGCTTCTGCCTCTGGTGTGTACATGTATATGAGAAAGAGACAAATAATCTGTTTGTTAAATTACAAACACCCACCCACATATATATATATATATATATATATATATATACACACACACACAGAGAGAGAGAGAGAGATAAATTTAAAGATCCTTAAAAAAAAACAAAAAACTTAAAGCAGCCATGGATTTTGAATTCCATAACCATGTTGGTTGGGTTTTAAGCATCAGTATGATATTAGGATGCGATTTTAACATGTTTCTATATGCACAATACAGTTTACAATGATTAAAATGTTCCCATTCTCTGTCTCCTGCACCCTGTGACCTTGGTATTACCCAAGGATTTGTATGACTATGCTTTTTTCTCTTTATTAGATGGCTTTAATCATTCTGATATGGCTTTCAAAGGCTGTGCAACACGGGATTTTTGCACGCTGGCAAGGGCATCAGTGGCTTATGATTACATTTTTGACAAAATCAAACAAGCACAATGCTGTCATACTGCAGAACCACCAACCTTGAAGAGTAAAGAAGTCCAACCTTGATGAGTAATTAGAAGATAGCAAAGTCTTCCCCTTTGACATTTATGATATGCAGCCACAGTGAAGGAGGAAGTTGCTTACCTGATATTGGGAGTGCAGAGAAAGTGGGGTTCACAGGACTGCAGAGTCCCCTATTTGGCATTTAGTGTAGGATGAATGGGATGCAGGGATGGATAAGCTAAAGTAGAAAAGTGGGGCTTGGGGACTTTTCCTCATGATATTATAATGTATGGTTAAACTTCTCTTGATCTTGATCACAATAAAATGGTATGGCAAATAAAACTGTGTTCTGTGTCTGTATTTGTCAAATAAAGAATAAGTTCCTTTTCTCATGTTGAAGCCCTCTGGACCTCTCATGGAGGGGGCACATGAAGAATTCACCAAATAAAGGGTCTTTGGTGGTGTTGGGGATGGTGGTGAAGGGCAGTCTTTGCAGAGGGAAGAAATGGGTATTGTTACAAAAGTCGGGTGGCAAGAGCCCAGGGCGTTCCAGGCACTCACACAAGGTTTGTGCTCCTTTGGATAACTGAGACATATCAGAGAATGTTGTGGCTTTAAGAAATATGGTTTATTCGCCTATTTAGACCTTCAGGTGAAGCATGGGCCTTTTAAGAGGGGATTGTACCCCACAGCAGTGTGGGCGGCCTTCTAGCAGCCTGCCCATGGAGGTGTGAGATTTTGACCAGCTTCAGCCCATCTGAAGCTGATACAGGCTCGTCTTATCTTGAGCCCAAGCAGAGCATCGTCACACAGCAGCAGGATCAGCAGGTAATGTGCCACATGCTGACTTTATTTACAAGCTATGCTGAGAGCATACAAGCATGTATCCTGCCTCTGTAAGAGCAGAGAAGCAACTACCCCTCCCGACACAAAGAAAGCCAAGAGAACACTGAAAAACAGGAAACCAGTGTACGTCACATCCAGTCTCCCATTCCCGTGGGAACCCAACAGTAACTTTGACTGTGGAATGTAAAAAATTGTCTTGTGACAAGCATTTTGCTGCTCAGTGAGGGAAACAGAAACCAACATCCTCCCCCTTTCTGTGAACATCACTGGGCAGCATGTTCGTACAGTATCAGTACAAACCCAACTTCTGCACATAGGTACAGTGTTGATCCCTTGATACAACCTTGGACAATACATCAGCAGGAATTTCATTACCTGGCATATAGGACACCGTTACGAGTCCCACCGATGTTGCAGTTTCAACTGCAAGTGCTTCGTGCTTTGCTTACAACCTTCAGAATTCAGCAAAGCCAAACATGCTTTGTTGTCCTGGTAAACCTGGATTGGACATTTGACAGGAATTTTCATGTCTTTGCACAATTGTAGCAACCATTCACAATCCTTCAGTGAATAAGATAGTGCATTCAATTCAGCTTCACAAGTACTTAAGCTAACTGTTGTTTGCTTCTTGCATGACCAATCAAATAGACCCTGATTGTACATGTAGCAAACTCCAGACAGGCTTTTCCTGTCTGTAGTGTCACTTCCAAAACTTTCATCTGCAAATATCTCAAGACCACCAGACTTCTGATTGCTATATCTCAGTCTGAAATGCATAGTGCCTTTCAAATAGTGTGCTATGCGTTTCAGAGCTTTCCAATCCTTAACAGTAGGAATGTTGACTTGTTTGCTTAGCAAATTACAGCTAACAGCAATGTCAGGTCTTGAACATCTGGCAATGAAGTTTAGTTTGCCTAGCACACTCCTGTACAGTGTAGTGTCAGAAAATGCTTCTTCAGTGTCATCTACCTGATAACCTGTTGTCATCGGTGTGTCTACAAGGTTAGCATCCATCAGGTTTAGTTTGCTTAACACATCAGCAATTTTCTGTGACTGGTGTACTAGAATGTTACCATCTTGATCTCTCTCTATTTCCAGAAATAGGTAGTTGGTTACCTCACCAAGATCTTTCATGTCAAAGTGCTCTTTCAGTTGACCTAGGGCGTTATTGTACATTGTGACATCCTTCCAAAAGAACAGAATATCATCAACATAAAACAAGCAATACAGCTTCCTTTGCCCTTCCTCTTTGACAAATACACATGGATCAGCTTTCCCTTGCTGAAAACCTAGATAAAACAATACTTCAGTGAGTTTAGTGTGCCAGCACCATGCACTTTGTTTGAGACCATAAATGGACTTCTTCAGAGCACAAACAAATCCCTGTTTTACCTGTACGCCATCAGGTGGAAGCATATAAAGAGATTCACCTAGAGATCCGTACAAAAACGCTGTATTCACGTCATGGTGAGAAATGTGTAGATTCTCTTCTGCAGCAAGCTTGAACATAAGCCTGATGCTCTCATACCTCACAGTGGGTGAGTAGGTGATAGTCTTCTCCTGATACCTGTGAAAAACCTCTGGCTACCAATCTGGCTTTGTGTCTGACTATCTTGCCATTTTGATCTGTCTTCGCTTTGAAGACCCATTTGCTTCCAAGCAGTTTCATTCCTGGAACTACTGGAACTAGCTCCCATGTTTTGTTCCTCTCTAATGAATCAAGCTCAGCCTTCATGGCATTTAACCATGGCTCAGCATCCTTTGAATCCAAATCCTGGATTTCTTGGAAACTTGAAGGTTCAAATACCTTCTTGGAGCTTTTAACAGCTGCCACTGCTATTTTGGCAAACTCATCAGCAAATCTCTATGAAGGTCTACCTTTTATGGCTCTCTGAGACCTGCGAATCAGCCGTAGGTCTTCAACACTCTCCTCTTCCTTCTTAGGAGAAAAGTGGCCTATTGTGAACAATGGTTCCTCCAATTCTTGATCAGAGCATTCAGAGGGTCGCATAGAGGCTTTCGCACTCTTGAAATCCTCTGAATCATCTGATTCAGTCTCAGACTCAGAATCAGGACCTTCATCAGTGGGTGTGGGTTGTTGCGGCAGCTGTGGCTGTTGCTGCTGCTGTTGCTTATCCTCAGTCTCATCACTGTCATCAGGATAACATTGGAAAATTCCCACATTCTCCCCCCACTTGGCATTGTACTCAACACTTCTGGTGAGCCTAATTGTCTTAGAGTCAGTCATCATTATTCTGTAAGAACCTTTCTGATACCCAAGAAAGATACCATGCAATCCACGCTTGCCTAACTTGGAGCTTTGTGGTGTGTGAACCCACATGTCAGAACCAAATATTCTCATGTGTTTGATGTATGGTTTCTTGCCAAACACCTTCTCATAGGTGGTACAACCAATCGCTGATGATAACCTGCGATTGTAACTGTAAACAAACAGGCCAAAGATTCCGCCCAATAACTCTCTGGAAGATTGGCATCATGCAGCAAGGTTTTTAACCCTTGAAGCAATATTTGATTTGCTCTCTCACAAAGTCCATTCTGCCATGAAGAACGAGGACTAGACAAATCGTGCTGAATTCCTTTCTCAGTCAGAAAAGCTTCAAACTGCTGAGAAGTGAATTCCCCCCCCCCCCGCGATCACTGAAAAGAGTTTTTATCCTCTTACCATGCACATTTTCCAACCAAGCACAAAATTCCTTGAACCTAGGATATGCCTCTGATTTCTGCTTGAGATTGTACACATAAATATACCTGGAAAATGCATCAATGAGAACCATGAAGTACCTGTTTCCACCCAAAGAGGGCGATAGTGGACCAACCAAATCAGCATGCACTACCTGGTATGGTTCTGTAGCTTGTCTACTAGACACCTTACCTTTCACAGCCATTTTCACCTTGTTTGCTGCGCATGCCTTACATTTCATGTGGTACCTGCAGGGTTTAATAGTCATACCTTCAACCAAGGCAGGCATTTTAGAAACTGCCTCAAAATGCAAATAACCAAATTTCCTGTGAAAATCATGAATACATCCTGCATGCAAAACCTTGTTAGAACCTGCAATGCAGCAAGTTTCATCCTGCACAACATCATCAAAATACAAAACAAACAAACGATCAATGTATTCAGCATGCAATACATAATCGTTTTTCTTTGTGATGGTGCACTTCTTGTTTTTGAAGGAAACGTCAATGTTCCATTCATTTAGCTGCGCAACACGGAGTAGATTGTGTGCAGCATCTGGAACGTAGAGAAGATTGTGTATCGACAAGTCCAAACTGTGAAGTACAACAGTTCCATAGCCTTGACTGGAGATCGTGTGGTCATCCGCCTGGTGAAATGCACCTTCCTGCGGAGTAAAAGACACGAACAGCCCCTTGTCATTGCATATGTGTCTGGTGGCTCAAATCAATTACGAAGAATGATCTAGACGTCTTCTGGACCTTTGCAACCTTTGGAGTGAAGCGTGAGACCATCGCCTTGTGCTGCGTTGTCCTGGACACTGGACCTTTGCCTTTCCCTTTTCCACGCGTTGAGCTTTCGCTGTGATGCTCTGTCTTGGCCCTGGGATATCTGCATTCCCTCTTCATATGGCCTAGACCTCCACACGAGTAGCATTTCACTGCCTTCAAAGCTTTGGCGCCATCTGGTGGTTCCACTGCATTCTGGGATGACGTCTGTGAAGACTCCCCCTTACCCATGCAGCTAGCACCTCGCCTGTCTGCTTCATTCAGAACAACGGCAGTAACATGGGCTACCGTGAGCTGAGCAGTTGGCTGAACAGCAATCTGAGTGGCAACGGACTCCCAACTTGAACCCAAAGAATGTAGTATCATGAAGGAATACACAGCCTCTGGAAAGGTGAGTCCTCTCTACTGCAGCTCATGTCTCAGATTCTGCATCTCCATCAGATGCGTACGCACATCTGCACCTTCAGCAAGTGCCATATCATGCAGCTTGGCATAGTAGAACAATGAAGCGCCAGCCTCTGTTCTTAAATGAGCATCTCTCAAAGTGTCCCAAATCTCTCTGGCTGAGGTCTTATCACGCAACAGACAGAGCTCTTCTGGGGATACTATCAATGTAAGAGTTCCCCTTGCTTTGGAATCCTTAGCTGCCCATTCATCCGTCATTGGAGCTGGGGGGGGTACCTGTTATGACTTTAAACAGACCCTCTTTTCGCAGAAGAGCCTCTGCGTACAATACCCATTGCACGTAATTCTTCTTGTCGAGCTTTGGAATCCCGAAAGCATCCCGAAGGGCCGCCATGACTCTGGCATTAGCCTTCTGCGTCATTAATCAAGCTGTGTCTGTGTTTACTGCAGCCTCCAATAGCCCTTCCAAAAGCACTTTCGCTTTTCAAGCCTCTCAAGCCTTTGAGCCTCTGCCGCTGCAAACGG